ATGCTTTTTCGAACAAATAAATAATCCCTAACCTAACTCAGCAAAACTCACACTTATCTTATGAACATACAACTTCAAACATATAAATTCAACCCTGGAGTATCTTCAACCTAACCTAATACTCCAGTGGTAATCCGCAACCTACAACTCTCATATAAGACCTAATTCCTAAACTCTGACACCAAACTTGTAACGCCCCAAAACCCACCCTGGAAGACATTACTATCTATAAACCATCATACCATGAGAACAACTAATAAACTCCATAAATAAAATAAATTCCATTAATCATCTATAACAACTAAAGCATAATCCAAATATAAATATGATAAACCATTGCAATTACATCCAAAATCAAATATTATCTTGCAATGAAAAAAAAAATATTATCCTTAGCATTGTCTCATAATTAACCTCCCAAACTAAAACATAAAGAAAACAAATCTAAACGTCCATTTTGGTTATCCAAATCGAGCTCTTCCTCTAGACTGTAATCTGAAAAACATGTTGTGTGTGGGGGTTAAGAACTAAGCTCTATAGGAAAATCCTCCCGAGCTCGAACAAGATTTTGAAAACATATAAAACAAGTCGATCTCATCTTACAAAATATTATATATAACTTTTGAAATAGAACAGTGACAGTTCATCAGATCTCAAGTTTACATAGTAGCAATAAATAAAGTGAAGAAGTAAAACCAACTTTCAAACAACAAATCATTACCAACACAGTATCTCAGTTATTTAGTAAGACTTAGCAAGAATATACACATTGAAAATATCCTGGCCCACACCCATACACTCAATCCTTGCAAGGATACACAAATTTAGGAAGGACATATACCGAAGCATCAGCNTCATGATATAGTGACATTGAGGATTTGAGAATGTTGAAGGAATATTGTTCATATAGTGCTCATAACATATTGAACTTGATACTGGTAAATGCAATTGTACATTACATTTGCATATGCATGAGAAACATCGCATTCGTAGGCATGTGACATGAGAGTGGGTGTGTGCACGGTTTTTGATCAAACACCACTCTTGATGGATAATGCGTGGGCTCGAAAAAGTTGGACCAAGGTTTGACTGAGTCATATGGATTGCATTGACAATAGGGTCGGGGTTAGCAAGAAGAGCTAGACTATACCTCGAGTGCAAAGAGTCCATAAAGTGTGTCGGCATACGCAGAACTGTTGGCGGAAGTCCATAAATGTCGTGTCGGTTGGATGCCCACTGGTATAAGTCCATAAATACCCACCCCAAGAAAGACCTGGGATAGATATGCTTTTTCGAACAAATAAATAATCCCTAACCTAACTCAGCAAAACTCACACTTATCTTATGAACATACAACTTCAAACATATAAATTCAACCCTGGAGTATCTTCAACCTAACCTAATACTCCAGTGGTAATCCGCAACCTACAACTCTCATATAAGACCTAATTCCTAAACTCTGACACCAAACTTGTAACGCCCCAAAACCCACCCTGGAAGACATTACTATCTATAAACCATCATACCATGAGAACAACTAATAAACTCCATAAATAAAATAAATTCCATTAATCATCTATAACAACTAAAGCATAATCCAAATATAAATATGATAAACCATTGCAATTACATCCAAAATCAAATATTATCTTGCAATGAAAAAAAAAATATTATCCTTAGCATTGTCTCATAATTAACCTCCCAAACTAAAACATAAAGAAAACAAATCTAAACGTCCATTTTGGTTATCCAAATCGAGCTCTTCCTCTAGACTGTAATCTGAAAAACATGTTGTGTGTGGGGGTTAAGAACTAAGCTCTATAGGAAAATCCTCCCGAGCTCGAACAAGATTTTGAAAACATATAAAACAAGTCGATCTCATCTTACAAAATATTATATATAACTTTTGAAATAGAACAGTGACAGTTCATCAGATCTCAAGTTTACATAGTAGCAATAAATAAAGTGAAGAAGTAAAACCAACTTTCAAACAACAAATCATTACCAACACAGTATCTCAGTTATTTAGTAAGACTTAGCAAGAATATACACATTGAAAATATCCTGGCCCACACCCATACACTCAATCCTTGCAAGGATACACAAATTTAGGAAGGACATATACCGAAGCATCAGCAGTGACAAATCAGACCCACGAATAGTATATTAGTCGCCAACCTCGATATCCGTGAGCAAATAGTTATTTGGTCCTAGAAAGTTACCAACCCCACTACGAGTGGTAAGGAACCTTCAAACCCACTTAGAGTAAAAAACACGTCTACCCACTCTATAATACCCGATCAATGGTCACACATGTTCATCAAAACATCCACACAAGAGATACTATACCAAACCAATTCACCAAATCACATGTAAACCAAGAACCATAATTCCACATATATTTTTCCAACTGAACAACTCAAGAAAATATGCAAGAGATCATCAAGAAATACAATTTTATTGTTCAAACAAACCACTATATTTTCTAAATAAGGAACAATGGAATACCAAGGGTAAAAATTATATTTCTTGAAAACTAGGATTTGATAACAAGAATGAGAGTTTTTATTTCAAGAGATGATACGATTTGCAAGAAAACCAAGAAACAATGATTTTATAACATATACATATGATTAAGAATCAAAACATACATATATGTATTAACCATAGCCTCAATGAACAAGTTTAGAAAGAAACCCTTCCTCAATCTGATGTTTGAAGATAGCCCTAACATGTTTGAACCAATCTCAATGCGAGAATCCCTTAGACTCTTATATTTTCTCCTTCTTTCTCACTCTCTAGGGTTGCCTAGGGTTAAAAACTGATGAAGCATGGCAAAAGAGATGTCCTTATGGTATTTATAGGATGAAGAATGTAAAAAATCCTAGAAACTAATCGGGGTCATTTTTAAGGAGGCATCCAGACGGTCCTGGGATTGTACAGACGGTACCAACTTTCTATCTAGACTTACGGAGCAATTTTCACCTAGTTAGAAGCTAATTCAAGAAACTTTTGAGAAACACATTTTTATATCCCTTGAAGGCTAGTTTCTACTGTTAAAAAATGAATTCAATCGGAGTTTAGAATAAACATTTATAGCTAAAATACTAAGGTAGTGTCAAATTTCTTCCTACCCGGATTCTTTCTAAAATGTGCTTTCACTCTTAAATACTTCCTAACTTCTAATACATCCCATATTACGTCTCCCAAGTTTTCTCGACCTTACAAGTTCAATGGTAGCCTTATTTTGATCTAAAAACATTTAAAAACTTACCTAACCACCCTTCTCAAGCATAACTGCCTCTAAACCTAAGTCTAACCCCAAGTCAATTTGCCCGAGATTCAAACTTCATGATTAATCTTTCAACGATGATTCAAGATTTTTAAAATACTTTTATTCATCCTAGGAGAAATATTAGGATGATATTATTCTTATTTAATTCTAGTTTGGAGTCTTACAAGTAACCAGTGACTAGAAACAAAAAAATTATAGTAACTGCTATATCCAGTAATCTGAAATATAATAAGTAAACATAAAATGTAGCTTAAGAATATTTGGATGTGTATATCATGACAGTATACTTATAGGTATTTTGAATTAATAATTAATGCAAAAAGAGTAACCAACTAAAGACTGAATCAAAGGCAGAACAACAAATTGATCAAGGATAATGTTCGGCCACTATGTTTTTAAGATAGATTTCTCCCTCACACTCATGCTTATGAATTTCTTAAACATCTGTCTCCCAAGATACAATGATCGAATCACACACAAAAAAAATATTACAGTTTGTATGCCAGATAAACCAGAATCTATGATAGGATTAATGAACATAGTGAATATTGTAATAAAATAATCAGTGCAAATGGGAGTCTTGACTTTTATATATGTAGAGATGACTGATTTTAAATAGTGACCAAGTGAATAGATGCAAACAATAAGGTACCAAAGGTACCTCTTCAGATAAATGGAGTGAATAGACCCAAAAATTCAAATTCAAATTCAAATAGGCATAATTTTGAATTTGGAAAAACACTTGAAAAAAGAATTTTTTCTAAAATATAAGTTTATATTTAGCGTATACCAACACCCATAATCGAGCCCAACCCAATAGGGTAGTGTACGCATCTATATTGTTGAACCCAAGCTTGTTTAGGTCTTCTCTCATCCACAAAAATGGGATGCCTCTTGAGGCAACCCAAGGAGCAAACTGGGGGGGTATATAAACTCAAGTTTCCCTTCTTAACCAATTAATATGAGATTCAAGTTCATGATCAAGTGTTCCAAGCTAATTTGCATCATTCACATGGGTCACTTTAGGGCCAATTTTCATTCCCCTCTTACTCGATTTAAGGAAGTGAATGTACGACATTAATCACCTCATCGAGGAGAATGCATTCCAAAGTAGTTTTACCCTTTTAAATTTTGGCTCAAATTTAACCAAAAAACTATTTTTGGTCTAACATGCACTACAATGGGCATTGAAAACTCAGGTATGTAATAAGCAATGACTTTACCATTCTTCATAATGTACATGGAGATCATTCACCTTTCTTGCACCACCATGTATGATCTCGAGTGGGATCCTATGGATCAAGATTTGATTTTTGTGTTTATGCATCTAAGTTCAAAATAGGCCAGTTTGAATCTGGGGAATGTTATTAGACATGAAAGGGAGATGGTAGAAAAAGACCAGGTTGGTGGTGTTGTGAACCAACCATTCAATATAACAAAAGAAAAAAAAGAGAAAGGATAGGTCGAGTAGGTGGTCATTGGTAAATAAATTCATCTGAATAGTGATCATTTTGGATGTAGCTGGGTTTAAGTTGAATGGGACATTTTTATCGGTTAAATTGGTCGATAATGACTTGCCTTTTGTAATTATTATTTTTTTTTTGGCATTGACTAGGTTTGAACCCTTGGTGGCACTTGCATTTGGTTCTAATGTTGTGGGTGGTGGTAGTGATGGAGTTAAAATTAACTTTGGCTATTATGGTTGATGGTTGTGGTTTGAAGGTGACTAATGAACACTATCTACGTTAAAAACACCCCTACAAAACATGTTTTTCTATTTAATTTCTTAACTGCTCATATTCTTTTTTCCATATGTGCATCATCTCCACGTACCTATATCCATGTACCTATCGCCATGTGTTCATCATCATTTGGAATCATTAAATGGACTAATCATGTGCAGTCATTTTACACCCCTTAACTTGCCCCCAGAGAATGTTTGTCCTATGGCACCCCCCTATTGACATTTTTCTACTTCCAATCGTGCCTTCGTTAAATGTTGTGTATCATTTCCTACAGAAGTGCATTGTGCATGTCTATTCCATTGTAGATACTGATACTTGCATTTAATGCATGTCCTTTGAGTTTAAGCATCGTTTCTTTGGTGTTTGTTCCTTTCTATTTAAAAGGTAGCTCTTCTAGTTTCTTCATTCCCTCCATTGCTGCTCTATTTGAAATTTTCTATGACCTTTAGAGTTCCTTCTTGCTTGATCTTCACTGTATTTCCATGGCTCCCTTGACCAACAAAGAAATTCCTAATTTTAAGGGCAAGTATAATATCCCTAATGATGCAATATTTGAGTGGCTAGTGAGGATGAGCCCATTCACAGCCCCATAAATTCGATCCTTATTCACATGAGAGCCATCATTAACAGTAACAAGAGATTCCCCTTTCCAACCTCTTCTTTTGTGGTTGTTCTCAGCTATGAAGTTGTCCCCTATTCAATGTTACCCCAACAGGATCGTGATGGGGGTAGTTGCACTTAACCACCTTCTAAAAGTTACTTAGGGTTATGGGAGATCTTCTACTAGTATATCATCAAAGTAGTTGGTGACAATAACAACTACTACTTTTCGATGAGCAAGAAGGACCACTACCTCATCACCCACCTTCCTTATTCAAACAATGGTCTTGAAAATGACATTATCTTTGTCTCAAGAAAATGGGAGCACAGGGCTGGTGAAGGAATGTGTTATAGATAACCATTTGAGGAAGGTGCACCGGGTAGTTTCCTTTTCAAGTTTTTGAAAACTAGGGTTTTTTTTTCTTTTTGTCGTTTCATTTCTATGCTTTTTGCCCCTGTTCCTCAAGCAAGACTATTAATGGAAAAATTGTTGAGCGACTAGTGAAAATGGATGACCAGAAAAAAGTGTGGTTGTATAGTGATGACCTCTTCTACTGATCTACATACTTGTTGTTCGGCTACACTCCTACCTATCACTCTTTATTGCTATTCTGAATCGTCCCAATGTGGGCCTTGCCAAAAACCAAGAATCAATCAGGGCTCAACGTGTTTTAACTCCTAGGCCTCGCAAAAGGTCCAACTTTGCTATTTCGGGAAGAGATAGACTTGTACGGAATTTCCTTGACTCTCTGAACCAAGTCTGATGTTGCTTCTTTTGTTCCTAGCAATCAACCTATCCCCAAATCTCTCTTCCTAATGAACTTGTTAGTTCAACTTCAGCCGAACCTGAACCCATACTTGTCCTGAGTGATGATTTGGTAGATTTCTCCCCAAGTCTTCAGTCTAACATCCCTGAACATCTAGAAGTCATGGTGCCTCCAGCTACTACTCTTGTTCCTACTCCTACTAACAAATCCCCCTCCAGGAGCGAGGACTCTCTTACAACTATCTCTAGATGACTCAAACATGTCGCAAGAAGAGATGGATTGAAGAGAGCGGTCCCACTGACAATACTAAGGAGGTGATCCCTGCCTTTCACCCTACTTTGAAAGCTAAATATAGGGAGATCACCATGCGGAACTTGGTGATGGAGCACTTGAACGTGTTAGTTGGGATTGCTCGGGGGGTTGATCCTTTCCCATGACCTAGTTGCTAATAAGAAAATAACTTATGATGAGATCACTTAGAACCCATTTAGTAGATGGTACTGGTACATTACATCCTTTTTTAATTACTTCCTTTTGCTTTGATTTGTCTTTCTTTTTTTTAGTGTCGTCTCCTTTGTAGGATTTCCAGTGGATTCATCAGGCTAGGTGCGAATCATGAAGCAATATAAGGGCATGAAGAAAGCTATCTACGATTGCATGGCCATTTTGGAGAAAAATGAAAATCTTGATGTCGTCCAAGCTTTGCGAAAAGGTACTCGTCCTTCAGGTTCAAGTGATCAAACTCGAGGAGGAGAAAGATCAACTAAAATTTATCAATAAAGATTTGACATGTTTGGAGATGGTTATTTCCCTCGAGCTTTCCCAAATTCGAGAGGAACACGTTTCCCTCCTTGAAGATTTTAAAGCCTTTATAGCCAAATTCAAAGCTTAGTAAGATGGCACTTTCAAGGCTGCAATGGAGAAAGCCAAGGAAGAACTCGCTCAATAAGTTTTGTTGATCGAGAAGACCAATTTCAAGAAGGTTTGGGATGAAGCCCTTTGTGTCGCTAGTATTCCTCCATCTAAGTTTGTATCCCCCCATATTGTTGGTCGTCCGAGCATTCAGTCTATAGGGGGTGCCTCTATTTCTTCTACTATTCTGACAACCAATCTTCCCTAAAGGTTATAACTTCAGAATTTTTTTTTTAATTTAGTTGTATTCTCTTTGCTTAATATGAAAAGGCTTTTGTTCTGCTTCTCTCTACAATAGAATTTCCAAAACGTTCATTTTCTTTAGAAAAATTTTCCATTAGTTAACTCAAAAACAAAAAATCTTGGAACATGCCCCTTTCTCGACAAGTTCGGCCACAATGAAGAGCTTGGGCTTTTTAAATGCCCCTTCCCCTAGTGAAGAGGACCTACCTCAATGAAGGGTTCAGGTCTCAGTTTTGGGTTACTAATTCCAACTCTTGCACTGACCTCCTGATCTTGATCAGTCTCAAATCTTTACCCTTTATGCTTACATCATCCTACCTAACCTTAGGTCTAAGGTTGATCAAGTGGTTGCACCTGAGCTAGGTCCCTACCTTTGTCAGGATTTTTTCCTCCCTACTTTTGTAGTAGGTTAGATCGTGCCCAATACTTCTTGTGTCTTTTGCCTAGAATCTGTTACAATATCAAGCCTCCATTGTGTAAATGGCCATGGGCTTGTCAAAAGATTCAAGTCTTGTGCTAGCTGCTTTGGGATTAAAGAGAATGTTTGGCACTTCTTGCACTGCCTTGGATATGGTAGTGCATCTTTCTGCATATATGGCCACCAATACCCTTGGAAACGTGCAAGTGGAGGTGGCCTAGGCAGGGCCAAGTGAGTGAAGGACGACAGCTTAGGAGCCAAGATCTTGGGTAATGCCAGAGGCGTTGAAGACGAAGCAAAAGAAGGAGGAGATGCCATAGGCGATGCACTGGGCAACACCCCTGGCACTGACGACTCATTGGGTTATGCCCTAGGCATTACCAATGCCTTGGATCATGTGGAAAAAGACAACAACAATGCAGGGAATGACGCCTCATAACTCACTTAAGAGGGCAGCGCCATATCTAGGGAAGGCAACTCCTCTCGTCGCGCGCAAGTAGGCGGCGCACATGGCGCTAGGCTGAGTGGCAACGCCAGTAGCACTAGCACCCTTCGCGCTAGTCTGGGTGGTACAGTTGGGAGTTGGAGTGACGCACTTAGTGCAAGAGATGGAGGCCTAATCAGCGAGACCAAGCATAGGAGTGCTACACTATACGTTAGGCAAATAGTTGGCAACGCTAGTGCAGCAGGCTATGCCATGCGTAGGTGACACCGGGCAACACAGAAGCAGAGGCTGCATCTTTGGCACAAACTAGGCTTGTGTGGGTGCGGGCATGGGCGCTGGCTCTAGCAGAGTGTTAGGCGGTAGTTCTGGGATACTAGTCCCCCGATGAGCAGCGTGTAAGTATGTTAAGGTGGAGTTAGTTATTCTGGCTTTTGACTCTTTGACCCTATCCTAACATTGGCTCTATTTTTTGACAGGCACCCAATCTGTCAATGACGTGATGAAGGATACTATACAAGGCTTACAGCGAGGCAAGGGGATCGCTAAAGGTGACAATTCGATGGTAACCTCCATATTTAGTTCCATAGATTTTGATGATGACGTTGCTCACACTATATCTTTGTACCGCATCCCTCTTGCAATTATGTGTCGTTGGGCCGAGGGGATAAAAGCTAGCGTGCTTTGACTCCTCTAGGTAAATTTTTTTTTTACGCGGATGTCCTAGAAGCAAGCTTGAGGTTTCTGATACCTAGACCCATATGTCAGATCCTAGGCCACTTATCACTCACTCTGGGGAGACTGACCCGAAATGGTTTGAGGGAAATTTTGGCCTTTTTTTTGCTATGGTTGTTGGTCCTCGGTGCTGACGTCCCTCCTCTTTTTGAGGAGTTCTTGGCCTCGTATGTGCTTCTAGATAACCCTATTCCTCATTAAGGGTGGTACCGCTTTCCCCCTAGGTCGGGCAAGTTCATTGCTGGACTGCCTTTGAATTGCCACAGCAGGAAATCTAGATTCTTCTTTATTGGAGGTGAGTGGGCCGCTGAAAAAGATTGTGATTTAGTGCCTTCGAGGTGGGACACTACTTTGAGGACCAAGCTAGGTAAGGGTCTTTACCTTCATTTTTATGTCTGATTATCATGTCCCTGTACTTATTGTGTGCTTGGTAGTTTAGGATCATCATTTCAAAGAGTTTACTGCCCTCATATCTGTGGCGGGTCATCCTAGAGTCTCCCCTAGGAAAGAGAGGAAAGGTACTTGATCCTTCCAATAAGCTTCAATAATTGTAATACTATAGATTCTCCGTCTTATACCAGTTTCGTAGGTTCCACTTTTGATAGAGCAATGATGGAGGCTCTTTATACTTCCAGGGTGTCATCTTCCCCTCCTTCTAAGAGAGCAAAGTTTGATGCCCACAGCGCTTCTTAGCCGAGGTCTGATAACCAGGTTGCTTCTTGGGAGACGAGACCTGGTGGTGCCTACATTTCTTCCTTGGCTGCTACTCTTTCGCATTCCACAGCTTGCCCTAGTATGGCTGTAGGAGTTGAGAATTTGGTCATGTTGTAGGATGTGAATTTGGCCAAAAAGCGGCTTTGGAGGTTTGTGACTCTCAAGGAGATTAGAGAGGTTGGCTCTCGAGGTCTAGAGAACATTATTAATACCGAGATGGAGGAATTCACCTTGGTATGCCTTTCTACTTGACCTTGATCTTGTACTGCCTTTTTTCCTTCATGTTCTACTTTTTGAATGCCTATGCGTGGCTGTCATTTTTCCCTACCTTTTTTCAAGGACGATCAAGCTTGGAGAGACATTCAGGGATCTAGCAACAGAGAAGTAGGCACGAGGGGCTATTGAGGAGTAGTTAAGACTAGAGAGGCAGGCACGAGAGGCAACCGAGGAGCAGTTAAGGATAGCTCATGAGATAGCTACACCTCTTGAGGTTGAGCTTTTGGTGTCCCGCTAGAGAGCTACCCAGCTGGAGGCTGACAGTGAGGTTGTCTGTGCGAGAGCAGAGACAGAGTTGTGGAGGTCCCATGAGAGGGCCGCTAAAGCTGTAACCGAGCTACGGATAGCTTAGGAGAAGACTATCATCGTAAAGGCTAACTTGCAAGTAGCTCGTGAGAGAGCCACCAGGGTAGAGACTCACTCCATTGAGATGGAGAGGAGGAAGGATGCTACTAAGAGGACCATTACAAGTGCTTTCATTGATGGCTACGAGAAGCTTAAGGGGAAGGTCTCAATTACTTTTCCTGCCATTGATTTTTTTGGCTTCGTCCCCTATGAGGCACCAGGGACTGATGGCGATAGGGAGAGCTTTGATGATAGTGGATCGGGGGGCAGTGAGTGATGTCAGAAGTATAACGACTTTTGTCTTTTTTTTCTCTCTTTTTTCTTGTTAGGTTATGCACTAACTTTTGTAAATTGTTTATTAACTTTATGGAATGAGAGATAGTTCTTGACAAAGATAATCTTGCAAAGTTTTATTTCATAATTTGAAGTAGATAACAAAAAGAATTCACTAAAACAACATAAGATAAGTTAAATGATAGTTACTGAATTGCATGCCCACTGACTTGCCCCCTGTTATTGGTAATACCTCTTCAGTGTTCTATGTTCCATGGATGGGCCAGGGCTTTCCCTTTAGAGTTCTAAATTCTGTAGGTGCCCGGTCTTACTACTTCTGTAAACCATGTAGAGTCTTTCCCAATTAGGGCCTAACTTCCCTTCCTGAGAGTCCTTGGTAGATAGGATGACCTTTTTGAGGACTAAATCTCCAGGCAAGAAGGAGTGAGGCTTCACCCTCGAGTTGTAGTACTTGGTCATGTGATAATTGTACTCTATATTCTTGAGTATAGCCATCTTCCTCTCCTCCTCTACCAAGCCGAGGTTGATGTGGAGGCCTTCTACGTTAGTGGTAGGGTCATGATTTTGGACTCTAAGGGAATGTACCCCAATTTTGACTAGTACAACTACCTCTATACCATAAGCCAAGGATAAAGGGGTCTCACCCGTTGAGCTCATTGGGGTTGTCTGGTAAACCCACAATACTCCTGGGAGCTCATCTACTAATCGCCCCTTTGTGCTTTCCAATCTGGTCTTCAAGTTACGGAGGATCGTTCTGATGGTGACCTCCACCTACACGTTTGCTTGTAGATGGGCTAGGTTGGACTAGGGTTACTTGATCTATTGGTCTGCGCAGAAGTTGTTCAAGAGTTTGTTGTCAAATTGCTTGGCGTTATCACTTACTATTGCGTGAGGTACTCCGAAATGGCAGACTTCATACTCTTCCAGATGAAGTCCTTCATCTTTTAGTCCGTTATCCTAGCTAAGGACTCGGTTTCTGTCCAATTTGTGAAGTAGTCGATGGCTACTACCACAGATTTGCAGTGACCCCTACTCATGGGTAGGAGACCTAGGATGTCAAGATGGTGGTGAGCTCCTCTGGTGGTAGTCTGGGCACTGTTGCAAACCATTGGTACTTATCGCACTTCCTTACAAACTCACAAGCGTCTCTGACCATGATAGGCCAGTAATAGCCTTGTCTTACTACCTTGTGAGCTAGTGCACATCCTCCTGAGTGATTTCCACATATTCCCTCGAGGATTTCTCTCATGGCATGATCGACTTCCTTAGGGGCGAGGCAGCAGATCAGTGGCAATGAATAACTCTTCTTGTAAAGAGTATCACGTAGGATTACGTACCTAGATGCTCTCATTCTCAACTTTTTGGCTTTCATTGGGTTTTTTGGGAGAACGTCTTTCTCTAGCTAAGCTTGAATAGGTATCATCCAATTGGCTTCAGAGGATGCACAATTAACATCGTCTTCTTCTACCTTGAGCCTATTTGGCTCAAATTGGTGGCTTGTTAGTGTTGGGCCTATGAGTATGTTTACAGATGCGAACTTGGCAAGAGCATCTGCCATGGCGTTCTCTTCTCTGGGCACATGGTGGATTTAGACATGGTTAAACTTTTTTAATAAATCTTGGGCCACTAATAGGTATTCTTGCATCTTTTCCTCCTTCGCCTCAAAGTCTCCCTTTACCTGATTGACTATCAACTGAGAATCGCTATAAGTCGCTAGGCAGAGGGTTTCCATCTCAATTGTGAGCTTCAAGCCTGATATGAGGGCCTCATATTTTGCTTGGTTGTTTGATACCATGAAATAAGGGAGACAGCGTATTTGAGTGGAGTGTCATGGGGCTAATTAGCACCAATCCTGCGCTGCCGCCCTCACTGGTGGAGGATCCATCTACGTACAATCTCCAGTATGGTACTGTGCTAGTGGGGGATGCCTGCTTAAGCGTGGTAGGGCACTTAGGTAGGAGCACGGTAGGCTAGGGTGCTGAAGACTCTGAAAGAGTAGGCAAAAGGGAACTAGGAACCTCTGCCCTAGGAGTCTGGACTCCAGGGTCCTAGCGGACCATCTCCAAGTTGCCAGGATCTCTGATGAGGGTGTCTGGGCTTGCCTCATGGTGACTTGAGGCGCTGTGTACTGGGCAGGTGAGCGCAAGAATGCATGGTATTTTTTTTCTTGGGATTCTTCTGGGGGAGTAGATTTTGCCACAAAGCCCACAATCATTTGTGCTTTTATAGCCGCACTTGGCTAGTAATGTACATCAAAATTCACTTAATTTGATGGCCCATTTGAAGAGTCAACCGAAAACATCTGACTTTCCCAAGATTCCCTTGAGTGGTTGATTTGTAACGACCACGATAGTGTGGCTCTGGAACTAGTGGCGTACGCACCTGGTAGTGATGACAAGTGCGAGTGCCAATTTCTCCAACTCTGAGTATCTTACTTTCGCTCCTCAGTACGCCCTACTTACATAATATACTGGCCTTCGAACTCATCCATCCTCCTTGACAAGGACGGAGCTCACAGCAGAGGACGAGGAGGAAAGGTAGATATATTGGGTCTCTCCTGGTTTGGCATGAAATAGTAAAGGGGCATAAAAAGACAGGCCTTTAACTTTTGAAGGGCCTCCTCTGCATCTGGT